TGAGTTTTATTTTACATACTCTATTGATAAATCATATTTTTGTCGAGATATAACTTTTTTTTTAAAAAATTATATGCAAAGAGTGTTATAGAATTCTAGAAGGTATAGTGCATAATTTGAAGTATATACTATCAAATAAAGAAATTTTACAGTTTTTTAGTTTTATTTAGATGTACGTTATTTTAGATGGCTTCGTCGAAAACAAAGCATGTCTGTTAAGTTTATTCTTAACATGGTAAATAAAATGGCAACGAAGCCCAGTGTACTGCGTCTTAGTCTTATCCGTAGTTTTGTTATCTTCATACTCAAATACAACAAATACAAATAATTTATTACGAAAAAACGTATAAAACAAATGATATATTTATTTCTAGACCAAGTTGACGAACATGTAGCGCAACTGTATCGCTTTAGAGAACAGTTCTTCCAACACCTACTCATTCAGTGAAAGATTTAAGAAGAACTCTTACTCGACCTTAACTACCTACGCTTTGCTTGAACAATTAACGAGGTTACTATAAGGTTGCAAGTCTTGTCAAAATGTAGTATGCAATACGTTGGGGAAAAATAGATATATACGAACAAACTACTACAGTCTAGCAACTAGTCTTTAAGTGTAATGTATTTTTGCTACAAAGAGCTCATAACGAAGTCAAATTTTGCAATTTGATGTCAAAACTAGCTAGTTGTTGAATCAAATAGCGTTGTGACTGCATCACGATCTTGTGGTATCAGAGCTGTACTGCTGCAGACTAATTCAACTAAACATGAGCAAGATTGGGATTTCTATTCTCTGGGTGCGAGGCTCGTCCAAAGTTCAAGCAAGCTACAGTGTTTTGGATCACCTAAAGAATTTTGGGAATTCAGTTATCCGTTACTACTCTTAAATTAAAGTAGAGCACTACAGCGAATCAATCGTAATGCCTAGTCTCTCCAGTAACAAGCTGATCTGCTATATTAACTTTAAAGCCAAATCGATTCACATTGTTGCTGGTAAGTCTGATTGCTTCAGATAGAGAGCATGAATTGCTTCTTTATCATCTAATCCCCATCCCCCTTGTTCCCGATTGGATGACATGGACAATTCATCTTTCTCTAACGAAACAAAATGACACTTTTTTGGCGGCTTATTGACTCAGAAAAATTTGAGAGTTAACGAATAATTTTGGCGCCAAAAATAATTTCTCTTAATTTATTAAATTTAATATACGCACATCCATAAGTTATGCTATCTTTAAAAAAAAAAAAAAAAAAAAAAAAAAAAAGGTAGTGGGGCTTCCAGGGGCTGCGCCCCTTCTAGCCCCGAAGATGTTTAGTATAAAATGAGGTTTTTATTCGGAAAATTGTTAGTCTTCTGGTGTGAATTCGGAGGACTCTTCGTGTTTCTCTTCTTCGTGTTTCTCTTCTTCTTCCTCCTCCATTGCTTCTGGGAAGAAGTCTTCTTCTGGGTCGAAGACATTATATAATGTGTAATTGAATGACACATTATATCTTTCTTTGAGTTCGCTCCTGACAAAGAACTTAGTTCCAGGAATACAGAAGACTTCTGTGCGTTGGAAAAGCTGATGTCCTGGAACAAATTTGGCAATTAGAGACTTCTTTTTTCCGAATTGTTCAGGAGTTTCCATGACGACAGTAACAACATCTCCATCTGCGAGGTCTTGTTGTTGTTCGGAAAGGTAAAGAGCAATGATATAAATGGTTGCTGCGTTGAATTCGAGAAAGTCGAATTCAAATTGTGTAGTCGTATAGCAGTCAAACCATTTTGTACAGTTGTCTCCGAACTCGTCAATGTATTCATCTTGGTCATATCCGTAACTAAAGACTTGGAATTCGGCAATGCTCTTGTCGAATGACCGTTGCATGTAACGAGGAAGATTTTGACGAACTTGGTATAAAGTTCTCAACATTATGAGCTTAGTAAATGTTGGAAAATACTGAACTAAGACATCGCTAAGCTCAATTGGACTTGGAATTGTCTTAGTAAGTTCAATTGAACTAGCAATTGCTTTGTTCAGAACTTCACAGAACTGAGTATTGTATATAGCGTCTGGTTGTGTGTTTTCTTCGGCGTCTTTGAGATATTTAGAGCAAATTTGTTGAAGAATTTCTCTTAATTCGCTGTTAGACTTTTTGGCGGTTATTCTAACAGCTGTGCCAGTTCTTGGAGGTTGTGGGGCTTTGGCTTTGGTTAGCGGTTGAGAATTGTTAATGTTGGCTTCCATTAGACAAAAATAAACTGTTTTTTTCGGACTACTCATAGAAAAGTTTAAAATAAACCGTTTTCGTCAACGGTAACCCCCTCTATTTTTTTATTTTATTTAATAGTTACCGTTGGCAAACCGTTCCATCTCAAATATTGAATGAACTATAAACGTTTTTTGTTTTCTATATATACTTTTTTGTCCAACGGTAAAACTTTTTACACAACGGTTTTTGAGAGTCGTAGCCGTTGACTTTTTTGTAGAGCACTCAAAATAGTATAACTTTGTCCGGACAAGTAAGGGTCTATCGTCGCTACAGGAAAAGTTACAGGCGTTCCAAGGAAGTATACTTTGAGAAGCCTTTCCCCCTTATAGAATGAGATAGGACGGTTATTTTACAAAACTGACAACACTTTGACCGAGTAGTTTTTTGTGCTGAACAAAAAGTGTCATACAAACATCTGTCAAAAACCGCTTTTTAACTTCACTTAAAATGCCACGTAAGCTACGTAAGAATATACGTAAGAGGAAGAGAGCATTGAAACATCCAATAGTAAAACTGACACCACAACAACAGTTGCAACAACAAATGCTGAATGACCCCACTATGTTGCAACAAATGTCAAGCAATCCTATGCTTTTAAACCGAGTCATTGGTGCACAGAGTGGAGGTTTAAGAGCGGGACTTTTAGCGAAAATGGCAGGCTATGGTGGAGCTGCAGACGGAACAGCATATAACCCTCAAAGTCAAATGAATTTGAGTTCACTCAAAAATCAAATAACAGATGTCAAAAAGTCAAACATAGACATACAGAAGCAAATAAGTGAAAACGAAAAGAAACTAGAATATGACAGACACACAAAGAAACTCAATGAGTTAAACGTAGAGAAAAGAAGAAAGAAGAACAACTGAAAGAACTAAGTACAGAGGAATATGCGAAAAAAGTGTCAGAAAAAGCAGCAGAAGTAGCAAAAATGGAACAAGATGTCATAAATTTGAAAAACCATACTACTCAATATAAAATACTGAAAGATGAAGAGATAAAACAAAAAGCCCTGAAGACATATATGGATAGCGATGAGTATAAAAAAGAAGTTGAAGCAAATGTAAAGGCAGAAAAACTTTTACAGTTGCAAAACCAAACCGTACAGTATGAAAACTTAGCACAAGAAAGTAAAAATAACGACGCAGCCATGCAAAAGGCAATGAAAAGTGCAGAATATATAAAAGCTAACAATGACTGGTTAGATGCCCAAGCCAACGCTAAAGCAGCCCAACTCATAGGGTCAATAAGGACAAAAATACAAGCGGATGAAGATAGTTCAAATGAAGCTTTAACAAATGCTGACTTTAAGAACGCTTTCGAAGCTCTTCATAGTAAGGTGAAACAAGTGAACGACTTCTCATCTGGAAAGAAACTGAAGTCTGAAGGTTTCGACAAAGAGTTAAAAGAAGTAGCACAAAATATGACGAAAATAACAGATGCAGCAACGAGACAGGCAGTTCAAAGTGCCTATGACGCCGTTAGAGCAACTGTTGTGAAAAGTCAAGAAAAAGAGTTACAACAGACCAAAACAGACCTAGTAAATGCTTTCTTAAAAACGAAAAGTCAGGTAGGACATTACGCTGCAGATGGAACATATGTGCCAGCTGGTGGAACTTATATACCACCAAACCCTCCAAGAGAAGCACCTGCACCAGGACTACCTAGAACATTTACATCGTCACATGGACACAGACACAGGCATGCACAACAACCAGCACAACAACCACCTCCACAACCAGCACAACAACCAACACAACAACCAACAGTTCAAAACACTGCACCACAACCAGCACAACAACAACCACAAACAGAGCAAGGACATAAAAGAAGTAGAGAACAAGGAAACCAAGAATTCTTAAAAATGCTTAAAGAAGACTATGGTTACCCAGATAGTATTGACTTTAGTGACAGATATAAAGAAGCTATTAGAAAGTTCAAGGATGGAAATACTGACCCGAACCTATTTAGCTTTATGGCTCTGCACCAAAGGGGATATAATTTCAAACCTGGAAAATACAAGCTCGCTAAGGGATATGATTTAATAGCATATCATCCAAATGACATGAACGAATTTACTCCGAGATATTTGATGTCAGAGCTAAATGACAATTTAACTCTCTTCATGAAACGCGTAAAAAATAGAGACGGAACGAAAGAAGAAAGGTTTATGAGTCCGGATGACTTAGAAAGGGAACTTGTTGAAAACGGTCTCGGAATATATGAAATGCCAGCAGATGAGGTACAAGAAACTCCACAGGAAGAACTAGTTCAGATACAACCAGACATGGAAGAAATAGTTCAGCAACAAAAGCTAGAAGAGCCTGAAGGAAACGAACAAGTCCTTCCTTTGGAAACTAACTTCACAGAACTAGATGAAGATTTGGAACAGCCGAAAAATCTTGACCCTCAACAAGAGTATGCGGAGAATATGGAATATTTCCAAGAGTCTAAAAAAAATTCGGCTGACATAGTAGAAGAATATCGAAAAATGTTTGCCGACATACAAAAGACTCCAACATCAGATGAAAATATCCAGCATAGAATGGAAGAACTGAAAAAAAATGTACACAAATACAACAACCCTTTTTACTTACGAGCATTTAACGTTCAATCTTCGGATGAACTCGGTGAAGATAAAAGGTTAAATTTCAAGAAAACATATAGAAATGAAACATTGTTTAAAGTTCATTCAGAACCTAACCAAGATGGAAACAAACCTACTTTTGTTTCTGCAGACGATGGAACTACAATGAGATGGGGTCATAAAGCTAACCCGGATAGGTGGTTCATAAACTTACAACCTCAATTCCAAGAAGTTGTAGACGCAATGGAAGTCAATGGTGAACCAGATATAGCTGGTATTTTCAGCGCGGCTTTAATGCCATTGAAAGATATGAAAGATGCAGATATTTTGGACCAGTATGAAATGAACATGGCTGATGGAAATATAACACCTGACGTTCTAGAACATTTATCTCAAAGAACTACACAGAACCATAGAGATGGTATATTTGGTGAAGAGTTTAGAAAGAAAGTTAGGGAGATAGAAGGAAGAGAACCTATTGTACATGACCTTGCAAACGAAAGTTTACAAAATGTCATAAAAACTTACTTTGCAGACAATGAACCGAGAAGGGATGAATATTTAAGAAAACTCAAATGGACAGTACCAAATGAAATGTTAGTATTGAAAAACATGTTCCTTGACAAAATAAAACCAACTACAGAAATAAACGACGCAAGACTGAAAGATTGGGTAAAAGCTTTCCCATTCACAAAAGATATAGTTGGTAACATGGAAAGAAAACCAGAATGGCTACAAAAACATATATTTGGAAACGAGCATATTCCATATGGACAGGCACTGTTTGAAGAGCTTGAACCGGAAACTCAGGAAAGAGTCATGCAAACAATACGCGAAGACTCAAATACAAACTATGACAAACTCTTTCTAGGATATAGGTTACCTGAGATGGGCGACCAGAGCCAAAAGGCAAAAAGGACATGGGAAATTTGCAACATACTAGATGAACATAATGCAAAGATGCAACAACTTCAAGCAGAGGGCAATGAAGGAAAAAGAAGAGTTAAAAACTCAGTCAGGAAGAAAGTAAAGCTTGGTCCACGTGGGTTCTATTATGACATATAAATCCAACTATTCTATATTTTTACTCATATGAAATGTACGCCGCTCAGAATATAACGCCAACAGTTTTGGATGCTATGAATGGAAATGTTTCCGAATGGTATAACGAATGCGACAATGCCATTAGAAGGTCAGAAATAGTTCCTGGAACTTACGAATATACAACTGCTGTTTCTTATGGAAACGTAGGTGAGTTTGGAGAAGGTTCTTCAACAACAGTAGATATTGCTTGCGACAGGTTTCATATAATTTCTATTGACAACTCTTTCTTATACGTGGAACAAGACATTGAAATAAAACCTTCTGCAAGTTGTCTGACAAGAAAGGTTGCAATGGAATTTTCTATGTCGGATACCAATATGCTCCAGAAGTTTTCATGGGATATAAGATATATTCTAACTCTGACTTAGTTCAAACAGTAACATGGGCAAACTATGAATGGTTCGCTTTGAGAAACTCAGTACAACCACAAGCTAGAGAACAAACAGACCAGTATGCAACTATTGAGAAAATAAGAAGACTTGACCCTAACGTTCCAGGAGTTTATGTTAACCTTTCTGGACAAACTGCAGCAGCAGTAACCAAAGTAAAACTGAAACTTAGAGTTCCTTTGTCATCTTTCCTCATCTTCAGGTTTTTAAGATACTTGCCAAACTGGGCAGGAAAAATTTCTATTGAACTTACTCCAAGCAAAAATAACTTAGTCATTGCACCAACGCAAGACCCATTCACTCTTACAGACGTAAAGGGAGCAAATCAAACGTCATTCGCCGACTTTTGCAAAGACAAAGTTGACTTAGACTTTGGTTTCTCAAACCTCAACACTGAAGTAAACTATTATTTCAATGCTGCTGGAGATGCTTGGGACCCAGTTAAGTTCACATGCGAAAAGTTTGAATGCAAGAGAATAGAAAGCAGACTTGCAGTCTATATGTTGGACCCAGATATTTCAAATGCTTTAGCTGCCAAATATATTGCAGTTCCACTTATGTTCCCTATACACCAAATATCTGTCAAAGACTTTGCAGGTGAAGTTGGAAACCAAAAATCCAGGAACCGCAGGTGCAAGAACAGATATTGCCTTAACAACTGCAATGAAACATGCAGATACTATGTTTGTACTGTTCAGACGAACTATAAATGACTATTCTGCTTCTACAACCCTGGTATTAAATACCATATAAACATAGATGGCAAATATTATCCAAGAGAAGAATATTCTACAGTTGAGGATATGAGGTCATACAACTTGACATTAGATGCTATGACTTTAACAACAAACTTCACAACAACCATTAACCCTGAAATGCAAAGTTCTATTATGCCATATGTGAAAGTATGGACTCATACAGGAGGTCAAAAAACTCAATATACAAATGGAGACCGTTCAAACTTTTGGCTTGGCATTCCATTTGCTGACTCAGAAGACTTTATGGGTGGTATTTCAACTGTTGGTACAGTTCAAATACAATATACTGGTGACAGAGACGGTCCAGATGAATTGAAAGCAAAGAAGTTTACAAAACCAATAGCACTTTTCACGGAAGATGCTCTTTTGAAAATTCGTTCGATGAAACCTGCTGGGGCTCCTCAGATTGGTATAACGACAGCTTCCATCGAGCAGATTTTGGCAGCAGGTCAGTAAGTTGTTCTTGAACTGACTTCTCTCCGTCAAATATTGACAGTACGCCAGTTTTGACATAAATTGTATTATAAACTTACCTTTAGAAATATCGGTCAGTTTTGTTGTTATATTTTTGTCTGCTTCAAGAACTTTCACCATCTCGGTTATACCAACTTTCTTTGCTTTATGAAAATATTTTGGTTCAGCAAAGACTGCTATTCTATAACATTTTCCATTGTTTGTATAAAGAACTATTCTGTCAATGAACTTGTATTGTTTGTGTGTGTAAACTTTGTTTTGCTTCAATTCGAAGAGATACTCAAATACGTCCATCTTTTTATTCTAAGTAAAATGTCATTTCCGAAAAATAGAAGCGTAAGTGTTTCAAAAGGTTTAATGGCGGTGGCAGATGTGAAGTTAAATTCACCAACTCAAACAAACAGTCAAAGTGTTGTTGTCAATGTCAAAGAAAGAGATGTTGAAGTGGGGAAACCATACGAAGACGAAGATGGTATAACAATAGTTCCTGTAAAAGAACAACCAACATATCCTGAAGTTAGCAGAGACTTAAGTTCTGTTGCAGATATTCGAAACGACTACCAACAACTTAAAGACAAACTTAAAACTCAGGAGAAGATTTGTCAAGCTTTGGGTATAATGTTAAACTTGGTCGAACACAACCCTGTAAAAGTGAACTCATATGTCATCGCACCTCATGAAATTTTGAAAGAACTATTGAAACTTTTGACAGAGGCAGACGATATAAACATCAAAGAAATAGAACCCGACATTGCTTGCTGTGGTGTTTCATATAATGTCATTGACAAGATATACGTTATGAAAGGAGGTGAAACGTTGAACTTAAAATATAGTTTCCCAGACGTCATAAAAATATTTGACGACCACAACATTTCATTAAAATTTACTTGCTAAGTAAATGGCAGAAGACATAGTGGTTTATACTATTACGACTAAAAACCCTGAGTCATATAATTCTATAACAACAAACTTACAAAGTCCTCAAGGACGATATTGTAAACTGACCTTAAACACGATGACGACTAAAGCCTGTTTTGCTCTTTTGACACCAGAAGACTTTGTTGTTGTGAATGGTAAAAAATACTTCTTTGAAGATACTTACTCAGATATACCACCAACAGGTTTTGTTGACTTATTTAATACTTTAAGGACGGATGTAACATGTGCTGCAACTAGAGCAGGTTTCATTATGTTTGGATGTCCGACTGAGTTTACTATAAACGATATGAGCTATAATACAAAACTTATATCTGGTTTTTACTACCAACAGTTTCCTATAACAGGAAAAGGTGTCATACAAGGTTTGTCTGTTCCATTGACTTTAAGTACACCTATTTTATATATTGTTTCAAACTTAGGTTCAAAGTGCTATTCGAATGTCGACAGAAACTACTATGACCAAAAGATACTCATGCGTATAAACAACACTTTCTCTGCTGGTTTGCCTATTGTTCATTCGAATGCAGAGTTTTCAGCTTTAGTAAACTCAAACACTTTGGCAAACATAAACTTAACCTTAGTTGACGCAAACTTTGTTCCTGTAAAACTTTTATGTCCTATGTATTTGTCAATGACGGCAGAAAGTTTCGAATTGGAAGATGCAACTGGTGAAAGTATTGTATTACAAGAACAACTTCAACAACAAATAGCTCAAGAACAACAAATGCAACAAATAGCAAGAACAACAAAGTCAAAAAAAAAAATATTTTTTTTTATTTTTATAAAAATGTACAGAATAGACGTTTCAGATTTTTATGACTTCCAAGCGTTCAGAAATATGTGTCCATTTAGAGACTATAACAAAGCAGTCGAGAATTTGAAACGTTTAGTCATTTATGTTGACTCTGCCCCAGAATGTTATGTTATGAAAGAATGGGATGTTGTCTTTTAACAAACCAAGAGCAACAATAGTTTCAGAACAAGAATGTAGACAGAAACTTAAGAAAATAAAAGTCGTACAAGTTGGTATGAAGATGTTAGATGCTTGGGATATCTTATTGTCAAAGTTAGAAGATTTTTCAGTTCGTGGTATAAAGTTCTATACACCATCTCCAAACTTCTATTCTATCTTCACTGGATATAAATACGAACAAGTAGAATGGAAAGAAAATGTTATAGAAGCTTGGTTAGACCATGTCAAAGAAATTATATGCAATGGAAACGAAAGAGTCTATGAGTATATCTTATGTTGGTTTGCAAACATCTTACAACATCCAAGTGCTAAAAATGAAACTGCTCTCATTATAATTGGAAAACAAGGAACTGGTAAGAACACTTTCTTTACAGATATCTTATGCAAACTGTTAGAGGGCTATTCGAACCCTAATATGACAAACTTAGAAAACATCTGCGGTAAATTTAACTCTTCAATAGAGAATATGAAACTTATAGTATGTAACGAACTTCAAAGTATAGATACAACAAAAGTTTTGAACTCAGATGCTTTGAAGAGTCTTATAACAGACAAAGTTGGAGTTGTTGAAAGAAAATATAAAGACCAAAGAGTTTGTGAAAATGTTGCAAATTTCATTATGGTTTCAAACAATGTTGTTCCGATGAAGTTAGAAAGTTCTGACAGAAGATATGTAGTTGTCAGAACGTCAGATTCTCATATGCAAGATACAGAATATTTTGACGACTTAGCAGAAACTTTGACACCTAACTTTTACAACCACTTGTTCTCATATTTCATGACATTAGATATTTCTAAGTTCAATCCAAGACAAATTCCATATACCGAAGAGAGACAAACATTGTTAGAAGCAAACAAGAGTGTATATGAACTGTTTATAGATGAACTAACTTTGAGTGTTTAGATGAAAGGTCATTGTACGATTCGTATAAACAGTATTGTCAAGAGTATGGTTATATGACAGCTTCTAAACGTACATTCTTGGCAAATGTCAAAAATCTTTTAGATGTTCAGAACGGCGTATATACAAAGAAAAATTTTTCTGAGTAAATTTAAAAAAAATATTTTTTTATCCGATAGAAAAGATGACGAAATATATTTCAGTCAACAAGTACATGACAGAAGTCAAAGAAGAACTAGACCCATTCATATATTTGAATGTTTACTTCTACCATTTTGAAAAGTCTACATTTGACAAAGTTTGGAACATCGAACCAGTTAAGTTTGCTATTGTGACTAAAAATGGTGCGAAATTTGAAGACTTAGACATAGAAGGTTTGTTAGCAGTCAAAGAAAATTTTGACAGAAGGTTCTCAAACCTTAAAGAAGGCAAAGCATACAAACTTGTTATACCTTATGAACCAAAGAAAGCAGACGACTATGAATATTATGAGTCTAAGATAGTTGAAGTTCAAGGTAAATTGGGTA